GAAGCAGATCCAGGCTGCTTGAAAGAAGCATCGAACAGTGGGTGAACTTTAGTGGTACTGTTGGATAGCTTGATAACAGACCTATGAGGATAATGACTGAGCTTAAACAGCTGCTCCATTGGAACAGTTTCTATGATGCCTTCTAATTTCCACAGTTGGAGTACAGCATCATAGGCTTCGAAGTTATTTTTGTTTAACAAATGTTTTGTTACCACGCAAAGTCGCGATTCAGCTATATCATACTTATCATAAAGAGCAGGATGCCCAGCTAGCCATGGCAAAGTTACTTCATAATGTCCATCTTCACATCCCCTTAAAGATTTCTTGAAATGGATCAAAGTTTCTTCTTCAAGAAGGATCTTATTATTTCTTTCTACAGGATCTCTAATCCCTAGAACTTCTAAATCCCATATCTTCGGCAAATTAAAATTTTGAAGATTTAACGTGACCAAATTAACCACTTGCCTTTTCTTGCCTAGTCCTAAAATTGTCCAACCTAGCAAAGTCTCTGCAGCTGAAACTTCAGATATAAGTACCTCAATTCTTCCAGTTAAAATGCTTCCAAGTACATTGGCTCATAGAAGAACTTGTATAGGTGGGGTATCTCTTTCAACATCTGTCAATTTTATCCCTCTACTGTATATCTATTATGCTCAGCAGCCAGAAAAATTCCTCTGCCAAACAGTCCTTGAGATAATACCTTCTTTCCGAAAGGAGAAATATTTAACTCAGCAGCTATGCTCTTCTCAATATAGGAATGATATGATCCATCATCCATTAATGCTTGAACATGGATTTCTTTGCCTCTATGCCGTAATCTGATCGTGATTGTTTTCAAATATATTTTGCGTTCTGAAAGAAAGATTTGTCAATAGTGTCTCTGTAGAATTTTGCTTTGTCTTTTGATGAGGAATTAATATCTTTATGTAAATCTGGGCAAAGTAACGCATAATGCCACCGTGCACAAATCAAACGTTTCACACTACTGCGACACCATTTTGTCATATGACCAGGCTTAAGGCAAACAAAGCAGCCTCTTTTACATATAACTTGAAATTTCCTCTCATCTACAATCATCCTGGGAGCTTTATTACAGTCTCTATTAAAGTATGGATGATCACAAAAATACATTTAGCCTTCTCCTGCATGGATGAAATAAGAGCTGAAGCAGAAGGGATATCATTTCTTGTAGTATCAACTTCCGTTTTAACCTCAACTTGAGTTCCGAAACCTAATCGAGCCAAATTTATCTTCTCTTCTGATTCGATTTCATGGCGACAAACATTCAAGCACATCAGTTTTTTTAAGGATCTCTGACTTGTAGCTTCTGCTTTATCAATATTTTCTGAAATTTTACTCCTTTCTCATGCTCGCAGAACATTTCCTGGCAAACGACTCCATCAATGGCTCTAAAAAGTCAGCAAATTTTTCTTTTGTGAGCCCTAAACTTTCTAATGCTCTTAATTTTGCCTCTAGCATATCATAGAGGGAGGCTAAATCAGGGACATTCTTCCCGGCCATAGCATTTTTCAGAACCAGTGAAAGGAGATCATGGACATATATTTGCACTAGGAGATCCTCTCGGCCAAATCTTAATTTCAGCGGTTGGAAGGCCTTTGGATAATTTTCAGCTGTTATTGGGAAACTGGATATTAATCTAGCAGCTCTTGAATCAGGCACCATAGACTGGTATAAATACTGGGAATTGTCTATAGCAGTCAGTTTCTATATGTCATGTATTTTTGAAAATATACTCCAATATGTTAAAAAGTCTTTGGGAACACCTGAAAACATTTTAAATTCAAATTTAGGTAATTTAAGAAATTTTATTTTTATCACATCACGTTCTACGGGATTTTCCAAAAAAGATCCAGAATCTTTACTTATGAGCTTTTCCATCTTTGATTTAAGCTCAAGATAATTATCACCATAATCTTCTGCCACCTCAAAATCGGCTTCGTATTTAGCAACAGCCTCAGTATTTTCTAAAAGTAGTGACGAAATGTTATTCTGAATCTCATCTAAACGTAAATATTTATCTTGTAACTGAGAGTTCAACGCACTCAGCTTATTGCCATTCTTGGCATCTACTTTCATTGCCAAATATTGCTTCAACTTATTCACTGTTCGTTTTATTTTCAGAGCATCCATATTTGTATGTACACTTAAAATAGTTAAAATGATTCATAATAAATTCTTAATTTCTATTTATACTGAAAAAATGAAAGTGTTTATACTTTCTTAAACTTAAATCATTTTATCATCGTAAACAGCATTCGTATACTTATAGGCAGTAATTTAAATCATTCATACTTGTACACTTTTAAAATTTAAAATTCTGATTTCTTCAAATGCAGAATACAAACTCTGTCTTGTCTTCAGATGCCAGTTTTATTTTGTTTTGAAAATAGACTTCATTTTATATCCAATTTATTTCATTTACGAACACATACAGATAAATGTGATTATTTACATGTAGAATTTAGTATAAAGTGATCCCTACATTTTATGATGAAAAACATTCAGTACTTCAGTAATGTAACTAACTTAACTGCTGCTTACTTAGAACAACGGGAATTTCCTGATCATAACATTCGAAACTGTTTGCCAAATTCATAGATCAATCTTAATTGCAAAACAAATAATAATAAAAGGGACATGCTAAACTTAATAGAGTGACAACAATTATCATGGGTAATATTTTTCGACATGTAATCTGAAAATATTTTTTAATAATAAACTCAGTTTTTTACGCACATAGAACGATTTTAAATTTATGATGAAAATAACTCGGTAATGCTTCAGCCTACTGTTAACAAAAAAATTCTTATTGGTGAAATTGGCCATATCTTTATTATATGTGGCTTAAGTGTCTGTTTGTCACCGACAGTTTGTTGGTTGCTTGCATAACTGTACTAGCCAAAGGGGTGAAGTTGCCACGGCATTCAAATAGTCCATATACTCTGATACCATAATGCAGTTATCATTGTTTTAATTAAATTATCATGGTATTTAAGAACATTTAAATACTTTTAATTCACACAATTTCTGCTTATTATGCATTTAACTATATTTACATATGAATTACCTGGAAACTTGCAAATGTTGAGAAATTAAAGGAGACAAAACCAACTAACGAGTTGTGCGTAGTACATCTCATCAGGTAGGCTTACCCAAACTTCTATGCTAAATATCCTTTCGCGTAAAGAGTTTAAAATTTTGCCCGATTTTATTCCAACATTGTATTTTAAACTGAATTTTCAGCTGAATACAAATTGAGCATGTCAGGGGGAATGTGAACATTTGTTTGCATTAGCAGTCATCTGTTTAAAATCTGTTGTTAAACAGCAGTCATTTCGTATGACCGCCGGGCTTTCTAGTCTATGTTATAATCAATCAACTAATGAAACATAATTATATTTATTAGAAAGGCTAATGAAATAACTGCACTGAATTCAATGATTCTGTATTTTTAATAAAAATAATACATAAAAATTGACAAAATAACTGAATATCTTTATTCATTGAAGTCTGCTAGAAATTTTGTACTTTCTGATTATCTGCCTACCCACAGGAGGGTCGGGCAGGTAACTCACTATTTCACCAAACTAGGTACCTCAGAATGTTTGGAAAATGTATTTATATGGCAAACAAATATGTTTGCACATCCACTACAGAGTAGAATTTGGCTTTTGAAATTCAACGATCATCTCCGGTATCGTTTTGGTTAGTGTGTGCTTTATTTTCTTTTAAGGAATCATTATGATAGTTTAGAATTTCACGGTTAAAGAAAAAGAAAGTGTGTTTAAAAATATGGCAATTATTTAATAGTACAGAATGGAAAAATTTGCAATGTACAGACATCACATTACCTTTCCAATTATCAGGACTTTTGATTTTTGGTATAAATATTTTTGTTCTGAAGTACTTCTTTTCGATTATTATTTTTATCATTATTGTTAAATTAATGAAATATGTACAAAATGATGCATATGGCTAGCTTTTGTTGTCTCCAATATTAAGATGATTATAGTACGAAAGCTTGGAGCTTGAAAGTAGTATACCAACTATTCTTAGGTTAGTGTAACAATAGCTTTAGGATGGTACTCCTATGCCTTAGGTTTATGCTGAATCTTTGACCTACCTTGACCTATACTCGAGAAGAAAGGCTTTGATTAATATTTCTTAGAGACAATTACCAACACATTCATGGTATCACATTCGTGGTCTTGGTACTGCTACTAGTCTCAAGGGTGACAAGAAGCTTGAACACAAACGGCTCTGGCTCAGGAGAGTTCAGGATTTAAGGAACTCTCAGATTTTTCTGTGCTACTAAAAAATTCTCAGCTTGTACCAATCGTAAAAACCATGAAGCCACTGAGAAACATCTATTTAATTGTGTTGCTTAGTCCATGAAGACCTATTGAAGAGACCTACTTTGGTGTTGGAAGTCATGAAAGCAAATGAACTAATGGACCTGATCTGATTCAGATGAGAGAGATTAGTAAGAAGAAGAGGAATAGCTTTAGTGGGATTTATAGAATTTTCTGCTGTTTTTTAAGAAAAACTTATTGCTGTACATGTGGAGAACAGTGTTAAGTTGCTCTTTAATGCTCAGAATTTTGAAATTCACTGATTTTTTTTCAAGTTGAAAAAGATCACTATATACATATGTAGATAATCACAAACATTACATTTTTAATTTTGTTAAATAGTTGCTATTTTATGTAATTTTTAGTTGGCTATCATTTTTAAAGTGGCTATTGTTTTGCACATGTTAGATTGGTGAAAAATTAGTTGCTAATGACTGCTGACTTTTCAGAAGGGTCGGGCAGATAATCAGAAATTTTTCTAGCATTACAACATTGTGAATTTAATTTATGATATTTGCATATGTATTCATGATTTTACCAAAGTAATATGAAAAATATAAACTAAATTAAAAAAAAAAAAAAAAAAAAAAAAAAAAAAAGAGAGAGAGAGAGAAAATGTAGACAGACCTTATCAGTTGAATAAACTTTAGCTCCTCTTTCAAGCAATGCTTCAACTATTTCCAAAAATCCTCTACCAGCAGCCCAGATAAGAGGTGTACAATGATTTTTATCAAGTATATTTACACTTGCACCATGCTCTAAAAGTATTTTTACAACATAATAATGGCCTTTATAACATGCCCACATAAGTGGTGTCCATTGACCCTGAAACAGCAAAGAAACTGTTACTCTACCTACATAAGAAATACTTTTACAAAATTACATTTTAATGGGGAAAACTTAAGTATATAGTTGAATTTAGCTAACAATAATTTAAATAATTCAGTATGATTCATTGAATTTTAATATGGGAAAATGAAAAAAAGCATATGTATAATTACATAGAAATATATATAAGAAAAGAAAAGTAAACAAGAAAAAACTCATTAAAAATTAGTACAAACCATGTCACGATGCTCAATATCTGCTCCATGATCTAATAATTTTATAACAATATCTTTAAATCCAGCTTTTGCTGCATTTGTCAAAGCTGACCAATTGTCCTAAAAATATTAATTATATTTTATTAACTTTGTTTACAATCATAATTTTATTTAATTGAAAAAAAAAAGGCAGCATCATATTTGAAACTATGGTTGTACTTTCTGAGTTTTAGTACTTTCTGATTAGAAAAAGTTAGGTTGGCAATAATGGTTAATTTTTTACATTATCCTTTAAACCTTTCTCAAGATTCATTAGAAAAAAAAAAAAAAAAAAAAAGTTGCCAACTAATTCACAGTTTAGTGTGATGGAAAGAAATCTCTGTTTGACTATATTTATGACTCACAAGTACTATTCTGTTCATAGATAATAATAACAAAAAGAAGCATTTTATGAGGGAAGGATAAAAATCTATACAGTCAATATTCACATTTTTACAGCCAGTGGATGTTGCTTCTTGAAAAGACTGTTAAATATAAAACATGTAAATTTGCATTCACTCAAACACATTATATGTGGTATGCTCAGAAGTGGGTTATTTATTATCACAGGTAAAAATGAGTAATTCTACAGAAAGCTGAAAGCAGAGCTCAGAATAATCAGAAAGTACCTTACATTTTAATACTAAAAAAATATTAAATGATTTTACAAAGAATATTCAATTTACTATGCCAATCAAAAAGTATTTGAAAGGTTTGTTACAGAAGATTGTTTCTCCATATCTTGATTAATCTTTATTTAACTTTTGGAATGACTTATATAAATGAAAACACTGATTAAATATTTTGAATTTAACCTATTAACTGCCATAATTCCACTACTAAGATAAATTATTAATTTGTATTAGTAGTGGAAATTTTGTAACTTTAATTAGGTTGGCAACAAGGTTACTTTTTTACATTGTTGTTTAAACCTCTCTCAAGCTTTTGCATGAGTTGTTGAGTAGTAGTAGTAGTTGTTAAATGAGTGAGCTGGAGAGTATAATGTGTGAGAAGTAAAATTTTTGTGAGTTTCAAGATTTTAATATTTTCAAAATGCAGCATGCCTTATTATTATGTACATCATTTCCAACTCCTGTGTTCCCTAATGGTTTTTAGAATATATTTTTTAACTATTTATTACCAATGTGATTTTTATTTTCTGCTCAGGGTACTTGAATGTCGATCGCCATTTGGGGCTTATGGTAGATTCCATCTATATTCCAATTTCCAGTCATTATGTCAATCTAGACACCCAGAAATAAATGTAAATTGAGAGAAAAATTTTTTTGCACTTAATGGGTTAACCAATTAGAAAAGATATCAATGAATATATTATCCATCTTTTAAATACCCCTGATGAAATAAAACATTAACTACAACTAAACTTAAATTGATGCATATACCTCATCTTCAGCATTTACATCGGCTCCATGAGCAAGAAGTTCATTCACAATTGCTAGATGGCCTTGTTGTGCTGCAATCATTAACAGTGTTTGTCCATTCTAAGAAAGGAAATTATAATATATTAAAGGGATTTGTTGCATGTGCCTAACTGAATTTATTTACACATATATGTAAGAAAAATAAAGAATATTTAAAAGATAAATTGCAATTTAAAACAGCATAAAATAATTTCCCTTCTCCATTCTAAAATTAGTAATGTCTCTTTATTCTTGTGATTTCCAGACTAATCCATGTCATATGACTGTCACATAATTCTGGAGATGTAAATGGAACTAAAACTCAAATAGCCAATAATAATTTTACAGCAGTATTAATTATCCAATTAAAATGCATTGAGAACTAAAACTATATCAGTCTGAATTAAGATTTTATACTGAACATAATGCACTCCTTTGGTATTCTTCGGCCTAGATGGAATGCTCAATTCTTACTGCAAAGCATCAAAAGTATAAAAATTTTGAAATAGCCATAAACAATATGCTAAGCTGTTTGTGGCCGCAACATATTTACTGAAATATAATGAAGATTTAATCTTCCGCAGCTACCACATTCCTATTCCTTATGGATAAATATTTTTTATGTTCTGTCTACATTTCATGCAATCAGAATTCTTGTCCTTCATTATGGAACTAAAATCTACATTTCTATCTCATTGGTATTGCTACATCTTTTTCATTACATATGTATATGTATGTAACCCCATAATTCTCCCTCTCTACTCTAACAAGCGTAACTTTTCTGGACTGCATCATTTCGACATCAATCCATCTTGCATGACTTGCATATGGTTCATGACATAGCTAACTCAGAACCTGAACTCAAAATTTACAGAACTGAAACCTTTCTAATCTAAACCAAAACCTTCCTCTTGGCAGTCTTCCAAAGTGGATAAATGTGCACTTTTAAGTTGAACTGTGCTGTCTGGACACTATTTTGCTGTGTTCTCTTACTAACACAAAAGTATTGTAAATGTTCTGAAAATAAGCACGATTAGAGTGCCAAGTTAATTGTGGCCATAAATGCCAATTTAAATAAAAATGAAATTTAAACCACCTTGACTTCCAAATTCCCTGGTCAATATGGATCTACATTCCGTGCCATCAACATTTGCTACATTTTTTTCTCATTTTTTATCACACATATATATATGCAGTATCACAATTTTTTTTTAAACAAAAAATATCCCAATATATTTTTCTGCAATATGCCACATAAAAATTTATTATAGATAAAATAGTAATGAATTTAGAACAAAATCCACAAAGACACTAAAGTAATGAAATTTAAAACCAATAAAGTCCCAAAAATTCCAAACAAAAATGGGGGGGAGGGAATAAAAATAAATAATAAAAAGAAATAAATAAAATAAAATAATTAAATTAAAAAAACCCTCAATTAAGTGTCTTTAAACCAGAAGAAATCCCACAAACAATAGAAATATATAAAAATACATAAAATAGGAAGAGGAATACAATTAAAATCTGATTCAATGTTATCAAGAGGTGGCAGATCAGATAGAATCCTCTTCCCAGGAAAACCATCGCATTTCTGTTCATACAAAATTAGCCGATGAACCATTTATAATTTATTTATTATTATTTAATTATAATGGTCCATCCCAAAATTTTGAACAACTCCTCCACACAACAGCGCTCCTTTCATATGAAATATGAATATACAAAAGCAAGACACAATAACACGCCGAATAAATACTAATTCAGAAGTCAAACAACAAAAATCAGCGTTACACCCACAAAATTTTCACAGGACTAGTTTCGATGGTTTTACCGAACCATCATCTTCAGCTGCAAAACCGCAAATGAACAAGGTAGGAAATAATGATTAGATAAGATAAGAAAGCCTGAACAAGAATAAGCAAGTGGCGCCATCTGTTGGCGAAACCAGAACTAAAACATAATTTCTCTAAAAGCCGAAGGCAAATTTGGATTGGAATTAGGATCGTTAACTAGAACAGAAAGATTTTTATGAATGTGAAATGCCTCTAGAAATCCAGTTCTCCAATGGAAGATGTTTTTTGAATAATTTTGGCAGCAGAAAAATTGAAAGTGTGATTTTCGGACCACAACAATGTTGAGCAACAGAAGACTTCTGTGTTTCCTTTTTCTAACATATGCCTCATGTTCTTTGACGCGAAATTTTAAGGCTCTCTTAGTTTGGCCAATGTAATTAAACCACACTGGCAAGGAATCCTATAAATACCCCAGGAATTCATATCCGGAATGGGGTCCTTGAGTATAAGAAGTTGGAATTTTATTGATGGGAGAATAAACAACCCGAAAGTTAAATTTCTGCAAAATAGTGCAACTTTATAGCTAATTGATGGAAAGAAGGGAATGACAACAGAATTTTTATAATCTCCTAAATAAGAGTGTGGCTTTTAGTGTGTTCAGATGAGAAGTTTTTTAACTGCTTGATTAATAATGTTGGTGAAAAGCCCCTGTCAATAGCTATTGCTTTTAAATAATTTAGTTCTTCATCAAGGGCTAGTTTGGAGGAGCAAACTTGAAGAGCACGGAAAACATAGGAATAAAATGAAGCTAACTTTTGTTTAGTCGGATGACATGATTTAAAGTGTGGTGGAAGGCAAAACCGATGAAGGTTTACGGTAAACTGTAGTACTGAAGTTGGATGTGTTACGTGTGACCAGAATGTCGAGAAACGGAAGAGATTGCAAGTCTCAAGTTCAAAAGTGAACTGAATAGCAGGATCAATAGAATTCATTGTTGAAAGAACTTTATTTAATCATCTTTATTACCTTCAAACAGGTAAAAGTATCGTCTACGTAGCGGAACTATGCCGGGAAGTTTAAAGTTTCAAA